GTACGCATGAAGTGTGGTAGACCAATCGGTTCCAAAGGTAACAATCCTTAAAAAATGATAGGAGCTAATGATCAAAATGATCATAATGAGGAGGAAATAAGCTCTAGAAGAGCCCACGGCATAACATTTCATGAAACTCCCGAAGAAGTTCAGGTACCTGAAAATAAAGAAAGTGATGAGATCTCAACAAGTTATGTTGCTTAGGAACCGATACGAAATGATCGTCGACGATATCTTTGATACAATATAGTGCACAATATTGTAAAGGATTGTGAAGATCGGACCTGTAGTCCAGACACCTGAAGATGTCATGTCATTTAAATAAAAGTCATAACCTATATGACTCATTTGATTAAATCTATATGAAAATTCCTGAAGGATTTAAAATGCCTGAAGCATATAGTTCAATGTCTCGAGAAATGTACTCGATCATATTACAAAGGTCTTTGAACGGTTTAAAGCAATGTGGGCGCATGTAGTATAATCGCCTCAGTGAATATTTGCTGAAAAAAAGGGTTATGCTTGCTGTTTATGTTGGTAACATAAATCTTGTTGGAACTTTAGAAGAGCTCCAAAAGGCAATTGAATATCTTGAGAAAGAATTTGAGATGAAAGATCTAGGAAAGACAAAACTTTACCTTGGTCTGCAAATTGAACATTTAGTAGACGGGATCTTTATCCATCAATCTGCCTATACAGAAAAGGGTCTTAATACGCTTTTACATGGACAAAGCACACCCATTAAGTACACCAATGGTTGTTCGATCACTTGAAGTGGATAAGGATTTGTTCCGACCTCCAAAAAAGGATGAGGAACTTCTTGGTCCCGAAGTACCCTATCTCAGTGCAATTGGTGCACTAATGTATCTTGCTAATGCTACAAGGCCTGACATAGCATTTTATGTTAATTTACTAACAAGATATAGTTCTTCTCCTACACGGATTAAGGATCCGTTCTTACCTCCAGAAGAGGATGATGAACTCCTTGGTCCTGATATACCCAAGTCTCTGCACTGTACTCTTTTTCCCTTGCTCAGGTTTTTTCCCACTAGGTTTTTCCTGGTAAGGTTTTTAATGAGGCAGCTTGCAATGTATATTATTAGTGTACTCTTTTTCCTTGACTAGATTTTTTTTTCCCACGGGGTTTTTCCTAGTAAGGTTTTAACGAGGCACATAATAATGAACATCTAATGGGGAGTGTTATAAAAATATTATAGTGGATGTCCATTTATTACTCCGCTGTAGATAATCTTCCTGAAGAAGATTATCCATTTAGTACTCCATTGAAAATTTTACTGTGGATGTCTATTTATTACTCCGCTGTAGATAATCTTCCTGAAGAAGGTTATCCATTTAGTACTTCATTGAAGTTTATCTACAAGCACCTGATGCAGGCAGGTTGCAAGCAGCTCAATGAAATGACTTGCAGCAGCTCTTGGTCTGATGAGATTAATTTGAATCGATCTGAAATATTGGTGGATAATATTCTCTACAAATTTAACTTTTGAGAAGATGGTATACAAGATTGGAATGGGGAGACTCGAATATTTGAAGCAAGGTTTTCATCAGGGGGAGTAAAATACGCGATGCACTCTTTTTTCCTTACTAAGGTTTTTCCCACGGGGTTTTCCTTAGAGGATTTTCATGAGGCACCTAGCAATGCGTATTCCGAAATATGTGTACTCTTTTTCCTTCACTAGGATTTTTTCTACGGGATTTTTCCTAGTAAGGTTTTAATGAGGCACATTATCTTAATGAACATCAAAAGGGAGTGTTATAAATATATATTATATTATGGATGTTCATTTAGTACTCCGTTATGGATAATATTACCCCGGTAGAAGATGATCTATATCTGGTACAGTAGCAGCTTACACAGTAGCTTGCAGTAGCAGCTTACACAGCAGCTTGCAATAGCAGCTTACACAACAGCTTGTAGTAGCAGCTTACACAGCAGCTTGCAGTAGCAGCTTGCACAGCAGCTTGCAGTAGCAACTTACAAGCAGCTTGCAGTAGTAGCTTCCTTTCTTCTATAAATAGAGGAGATTTTAGTTCATTATGTACATGAGTTTGAAAGTTGAATTAATATATCAATCTCTCCCTCTCTCTCTACTTGTCTTCGGTTTCTTTACTTTAAAGTCTTTATTTTATAACAAATCCAACAATGTCATGTTGAAAAATGTTTTTAACATAAAGATTCTAGCTTTTCTTTTTACATCAATAAAGTTGTATTCACTGTTGTTTGGCTTATCTAGCGGCTGGATTAAGTGTCATCACGACTAGGTGGATTTTGGATCGTGACACCTGAACTAGAGTCAATGTCCACAATATTTTCAATGTATCTGGTTGACTCCACTTCCAATTATTTTTCGGCATCACCAACAAGCATGGAGTCGATGCACGGTTGTTAAATTCTTGATTTCTCAAAATGAAGCTCACTTTCTTCCTCTAATTTGGATTTTTCTTGACCTTTTTCCACACTCTCAAGTTGGTGCGCATTATGAGCCTCAACCAATGGTTTCATTTGACTTTCCAAGGTGCGGATAATCTCATAATTTTGATTTAGTACTTGTTTCAAGTTTTCAAGTGCCAAGTTTTGCTTCTCCTCATTTTCAAGAATGACCTCCAACATGAGCATTATCCTCTCATATTGAGCATTTGAGTGTTCTTATTGCTTTTGATCAAGTGCCAAATAATGATTTTTGGTTTCAACCTCTAAGGGAAGTTCTTGGCTATCATCCACTTCCAAGGCTTTTTGGACCTCTAAAGCTTCAAGCATTTCTCCCATTTCTGAGTTTAACCTTTCAAGCGCCAAATTTTTTTGGAGACTAGTTTCCAAAAGCTCCTCCAAGGCTTTTTGCTCTTCGTTCCCACCTTCTAGTATGCACTTCATCATGAGTTTGAACTCTTCATTTTGCCCATACTCATTTTCTTCCACTTTCATAGCCCAAGAAATATCACAACCAAAAGTAAAATCGCCATAACGGGAGTTCGGGGAAGGGAAGGACATATAAGCACAATTGCCCAAATGGCCATTTTGATTACCACACCTATCACATATACTCCACTCATAGGTTTGAGATTGTGCGCACAGTTCGTCCCCTGGAGAATTTAAACAATTTTTCCACGAGTGTGGTTCTCCACAATAAGAACAAGGGTCATCAAAGTATGAACAACTACCATCCGATCAATTTTTATTGCATGAAGCCATTTTCAAAAACTAAGAAAACAAACAGAAAACACACAAGAAAATAAATAAAGTTAAGAAAGATAACTACACAAATATTCATATGTTTGGACCAAAGCACGTACGCTTGCTTCTCAAACAACCTAAATGCGCCAAATTATTTTCCTAGCAACGGTGCCAATTTTGATGATGTCCAAATCCATTCCTCAAAGAGTAAACATACACGATCGCATGCAATATAATAGACTCAACTATGAGTCGGGGTCGAATCCTACAGGGAACAATATGTAGGCGATTAGGCAAGTAAGAGAATTATGGCTTATTATGCTAAACCAAATACTAGAAAGAATTTTGAAAAAATATTTATATCTAAATGCGAAAATGTATACTGACCTAGTAAAAATCTAAGATTAAAGAAGAAAAAAAGTTGGTAAAATACCAACTTACCAAAGAACAAAGAGGAAATTTGGTATAGCAAATCATAAAAAGTACAAGGTAAAAATTAAAGAAGAAAAGGTTGCCATAAGCCGGCTATAAAAAAGTATTGCTACCTTTTCAGATATATTTTGTTGGTTTATTATTTTTGGCTCTTATTGATCTGGCTTTGCACAGAACAAGAAAAATCTGATGAAAACAAAGAAGAAATAAAATAGGAGAAGCATAGTTGAAAATAAAATTTCTGCAAGGAGTTGGAGTTTGTAAAGATTAATTTCATAGATGATTGCTCAACTTTCATTTTGTTGCATCAAAATTTATTAAGTTATTTTTCATAACAAAAAAAATTCATTAAAAGTATCACCAAAGTCAATAAATTGTTCTTGTAATCAGAAACTCCCTCGACTTTGTCTGCGTATCACCGAGAGTCACTCGAAGAAAATAAATGAGACATTTTCTAAGATATTTAAGTAAAGTTGGGCGATCTTTAGATTATAAAATATTATTTGGTGAAGTTCATGATACTTTGAGTGACTTTTTGTTCAAAAACAAATTAATTTAGTGATTTTGCTTAAAGTAAAAATGAAGTAACCTTTTCTGAAATTATCTTGAGTTTGCAGTGAAAGAAAAGTAACCAATACCATCTCCGGTCTATATTAACTTTTAAGATTTTTGCACACATCTTTAAAAAAATGTTTAGTAGAATTACTCAAAGGAGTATTTGTCTAAGCTCTCCGTTATCTAATTTTAATGCTCTCAATTGATACTCCACTAATTGAAACAATAAGAGTTGATATAAAAAAGGCAGCAAAATGATTTTTTCTTAATTATTGACTCTAATATTCTGGATTAAATTCACTTTGCTAAAACCACTAAGTAATATCTAGGAGAGGTTGTGTTATTATTGACAGAGATTGGCTGAATTCGAACTTCAAAGAAATTAATTCTCAATTCTTATAATCTCAATAATATACTATTAATATATTTGTCGGTTCAAGATTTTAATTATAACCTCGAATGTGTGGCTTAATTCAGAGAACCAAGCAGAAAACCAGGGTGGCAGCGGTCTTATTGTCTAGTATATTGCATTCTTTATTTTAACACAAAACTCAAGTTGAGGAATTTTTAAAGTACATCTGTTTCAAGATGGCAGCTTAATTTACGTGCATACTGAGCCTGGTGAACTTAAACAAAATGAATAAAGACAGGAAAAAATTATTTACCATCTAAATCAGCCCTTTTGAATGCAATAAATCAAATCCAACAATGTCCTGTTGAAAAATGTTTTTCAAAAAAGATTCTAGCTTTTCTTTTTACATCAATAGAGGAATGATTCTCTCTAGAACCACGCACTATTCTTCCCCACTAAAAAGAACGATTAAGAATCTCGAAAAGATTTATTAATTAGATAAGAACAATTTGAATACTAAGGTACAAGGACGGGACCAGGCTAGAGGACTCTCAATCGTTCCCATCATCCTAACAGCCGATCATGCAATTAACATTACTAAATGCTTGATTTTTCTTTGGAAACTGAATCAGTACAGCCTTTCATTTTTACTATATTGTGATTCACAATGTGCCGTACTATACCGCTAAGAAAAACAAACAAGAACCAGGCTAGGCTACTCCTCTTCCCCTTTCTGAATCGACTTGTCCTTGCGCTTATCACTTCTTAAAACTTGCGAGCGAGTGTCTATCGCTCCATTGCCTGGGCAAGATCTGACGACTCCTGCCCAAAGATGGCGGGTTATGTCAACCCACTCAATATCCGAGAGAGGGTAGGTTTTTGGCGGCCGCAGAGACGGCAGATAAGGCAGGGGATGATACGTACTTGGAAATAAGCAGATCATAGATAAGTTTTTTCATGCCTCGACTCTCCCTCGGTTCGTTCAGAAATCATGATAATCTTTTCATGGAATATAAAGTTATGGGTTTACGGGTTTAGATCGAAATTACATCCCCGAAAGCATAATTTCTCAACTTGCTTATCACTGAAAATCTTGCTTAAAAAAAAAAAATTGTCTACTTATGAAAAGTCTATACATTTAGTGTTTGTCTTCTGTTTTCTGTATGTGATGACCTTCTTTCCCTATTAGCAAACCACTTGACTGTTCTCCTTGCAATTGGAAGCCAAAGCTTCCTCCTCCTTTCCGAAAGCTTTCTATTACCAATGTTCTTGTTGTTGAAATCTATGAATCTTGGATGCACTATAATTTCTGACATGCATCTTTTCTCATTTTGACTTAGTGATTTTGATGAATTGGTTCTTGATTCTGAGGCTTCTGGAAATTGTGATAAATCATTTTGCTGGATTTTGCTCTCAAACAATCTTTTCCTTTCCATTTCATCCTTGATATTCATTCTTTGACCTTCTTCTTCTATCACTCTTTTCGCCGTGGATTGCTCAGTAATTCTGTCCATCGATGAGAATCTGTTGCTTGCCATGCCATTGAGCATTTCTGAATTCAAGAACATAAGGTCCGAAAAACTCACATTACTCCATCGATTCTTGAAGACAACATCTGAGACTATAATCCTATGATTGAACCTGTGTAGTGCTTTCTGATTTTGATTATCAATATTGTTTTCTTGTATTGGCGATTCTTCTTCCTTCTTAAAGCTGCTTCCAATACTAAATCTTGAGGATCCATTTTCCTCTCTTTGAATATATAGTTCCAAATTTGATTCATCTCTTAGCTCAGGTTGGTTCCACAAGAATCTCAAACTGTCTGAATAAGTAAGTAATGACAGGTCTTCAGCACTGACCTTATGCCTGCAAAGTGGACAGGTTGAATGTTTTTCCAGCCACTTATCAATACAGTCAATATGAAAAGCATGTTTGCACTTTGGCAGCAATCTAAGGATTTCAATATCTTCAAATTTTGATAAGCAAACAACACATTCAAGCCCTTGTTTGGACCCTCTGATATAAGAGAATCTGAAAAATGGAAGTGATTCCACCACAGTTTTATCGATACCTGAGGAACATGACAGTACTGATCGAACAAGTCCATCTTGAATATGCATAATATTGGTGTTGTTACGAACAGAAGAAGATGCCCTATGACAGAACTTGGCATAGAGGAGAAGAAGAAAAGTTAGTGAAAACATGATAGAGAGGACACCAATAACCACAGCAAGGCTTGGCTGGAAACTGCTAACTACATCTTCATCTTCAGATGGAGCGACCTCAGCTTTAACACTAAATAATCCAAATGAAAGGACTGCTAATAATAGCAGTCTTGATTGAAACTTCCTGAGAATCCAAGAATACATTTCCATCTGCTTTTATTTTGTGTGTACAAGGCTATGTAATTATAAAGGGCAGTTTGACATTGGTTTTGTTGTGTCTGAATATCTTTATATTTTTGGTAAGTGGATTGTTTTGGTTTATCTGTCTTCTTGGTATCTTCATGGATTGTTCATGTGCATCTCTTTATTTGTGGGGGAAGGGGTTGGGGGTGGGTGGAGGTGGGACGTGGTGAGGTATACTGGATGTTTTAAAATTGGTAATTATGTTAACTGATGTGGAGATGTGGGATGGCTTAAACATGAACACATATCTTCTGACTTGGGGTCTGAATAAAATAGTAATATCATTATCTTTTACCTACTCAATTTTGAAAGGTTGTACAGCCTCTGACGCAAGCACTTCGTCTCAGTCCAGCCAGAGCATATCTTTGACAATATTGTTTTCTAAAGGTATTCCCTCCGTTCCAATTTATGTGAACCTCTTTGATCTGATACGGAGTTTAAGCTAGCATTTGGCTATAGATCCCAAATTTATTTTGAAAAATCTGATTTGGGTGAAGTTTGGTTTGAAGATGAAAATGTGTTTGGACATACGTTTTCAAAACATATTTTCCAACTTTATTTTGGAAAAACATGTATATAATTCCCATGTTTTGGGATTTTGTCCCAAAATCAGCTCAATAGCTGATTTTGGGATTTGAAATTTGGGATTTGGCCAAAATATGAGCAAAATTTATGGCCAAACATGAGTTTTGAAAATAAATCTCAAATTTATTTTGGCAAAACTCATGGCCAAACGGGAACTAAGAAAAAATAATTTTTGGAATTTGTGGTCCTAAACAAGTCAAAAAGGGACCCGTATTTGTATGGTTATAAAAGTTTCTCATTAAGGTTAGAATTACAAGTTTAGGCTAAATTGTTACCAAATTTAGAAAGGGCTCATTCTTTTTCGAACGGACCAAAAAGAAAATAGATTCACATAAACTGGAACAGAGGGAGTATTTGGTATCAGAAACTTACTGGTCCTACTAATCCGGTGTCGTGCTAGGTAAACCACTGAGGGCTCGTTTGGTATGAGTAATAATGGATAATTAATCTCAGGATTAAATTTGAGATAAGTTTATTTCATGTTTGATTGATATAAAATTGCGGTATAACTAATTCCGAATCAGTTATCTCGGGATTGTAATATTTTTTAATCCCTATGGGAGGATGAAATAACTAATCCCGGGATAACTTGTTTCCAACCAAACGAACGACCGCCAAAGAGATAAAACAATCTTTATCACGAAATTCTTCATTCCGAAAGAAACTTGGATAATATTACATGCGGCAACGGCCATCTCTATATCATAATGTCAATCAGATACTGTAACAAGAAGTGGTACTTTTAAGATAAGTCTTAGAGCCTGGTGTACATGAATTGTCATTAGAGCTTGCATGGAAGAAGCATTATGTGACAAAAGGGGAGGTGAAAAGGAAATAATATGTTTGAATATTGCTTTACATTATCATTTGCAAAGTTGTATTTGAAGGAGTGAGAAGTGACGTTTTCTCATTGGAAAAGAGAAGTCGTTATGAGATCGATAAATGGTTCAAAATCTGTCGAAGAAAAAGAAACAAAAGAAACAAAAAGAGAGCTTTATTTATACACAAACAGAATGTAGTTGGACATATGCGGCTTCATTCTTTTAGGAAACCAAAGAAAAAGGCTTTATAGAATAAACAAAAATACACAGGAAATCCGCATGGTTTTTGGCAAAAGCACATGTATAAAGCCTCAAGTGTAATGGACACAAGAAACTTCGCTGCCTAGTGTCACGATTCAAAATCTACCGTCGTGATGACGCCTATCGTGTAACTAGGCCAATCTCAACGTAACACCCATCACAACAATAATAAGTTTGAAAATATAACGGAAGCATTTAACATTTAAAGAAACTGTTTGAAAACATGAAAATTCCCAAATTACGATACAATTTAGCCCAAAATCGGGGTGTCACTGAGTACATGAACATCTAAATCAGAATACAGTCCACTACAGAGTCTAGAGAAATAAACTGAACTGCGACAAATGATAAAGAAGGAGAATTAAGGCATGCGAACACTGTGCAGCTACCTCAATGGTCTCCAAACTCTGAAAGAACTCAATCAACAACCGCCACTGCGACCGGTGTCGCCTGGATCTGTACACGAGGTACAAGGCGTAACGTGAGTACACCAACTCAGTAAGTAACAAGTCCAAACTTTGGACTGAAAGATAGTGACGAACTCAATCGATACAGATAAGAACAGAAATAACTGCACTGTAATGTAGGCATGCTTTCAATTTAATAGGCATTTCAAAACAGTAAAGTAGAGCAGATACGAACAGTGTAAAGAATATATCTCTGCTACCTCTACATGTCAATGCACAGACTGTTTGAAATGCATCATGTACCTCCACTCTCAAGTGCTCAACCACTCGGTGTTGTATATGGCCATCCGGCCCAGGGAAATCCATCCCGGAACATATACATCTCTGACTGCAAGTCACCAGTACCGAGGAAAAAGGGCAATCCAACCCTGTGGAGAAATCCATCTCCGGGTATCAAGTACTTCGGACAAATCCATGTCCAGGAAAATACATCCCTCAATAATATCATCCGTGCGCACCGGAGGTGTGTTACAGACTCCGAAGGGGCTCCTTCAGCCCAAGCGCTATCATAAATCAATATAACCACTGCGGCGTGCAGCCCGATCCCATAACTGTCACTCATAATCAGGCTCTCTGCCTCACTCAGTCATCAAGCTCTCCAGTCTTACTACGGGATCACAATGTCATGAAAATAACCCGGAACAATGATATGATGAATCAATAAATAACTGAGACTGAGATATGATATAAATGCATGATCATGACTGAGTATGGAATATTAAATGAAGACTATTGAGATGACAGCAAAAAATGACCGCTAAGGGTCCAAACAATACCGGCACAAAGCCTGAACATGGATATCAACAGGATATAGTCACTAAACAGTGCCATGAAATCATCCAGGTCATAATTCTCATGGTGCACGCCCGCACGCCCGTCACTTGGCATGTGCGTCACCTCAATACTAATCACATAACACATAGTTTGGGGTTTCGAACCCTCAGAACCAAGTTTGGAAGTGTTACCTACCTCAACCAAGCAAAAATCCTACTCCGCGATGTCTTTGCCTCACAAATCGGCCTCCAAGCGTCCCAAATCTAGCCACAAGCAACACAATACGATCAATATAGGCTAAATGAACCAATTCCACAAGAAAAATTGCCAAACTATAACCAAAATCCGAAATCGGCTCAAACCTGGCCCCCGGGCCCACGTCCCGAAATCCGACAATAGTCATAAAACTCGAAAACCCATTCACTCACGAGTCTAACCATACTAAAATTATTAAAATCCGACCTCATATGGTCACTCAAATACCCAAAATTCACTCTCCAATTCTCAAGTCCTAAATCTCCAAATTTCTAGCTCAAACCCCTAATTAGATGATGAATGAAGCCATGGATTCAGGAAATTTATACTATTATGGGTTAGAATCACTTAGCCCAATGTTGCTCTTTGAAATCCTTCAAAAATCTCCTCTCTCCCGAGTTTCTCAAGTCCAAAATTGAAAATGGAGAACAAAACTTCGAGCTGGGGTTTTTCTGCCAGCAAAACCGCACCTGCGGTCCTAGTTCCACACCTACGGAATCGCAACTGCGAAAAGGGCTTCGCTTCTGCAGAATTTCATTCAAAGGCCGACTCCATTTCTGCGATCACCTGACCACATCTGCGGTCATCGCAGATGCGGGGACCAAGCCGCACATGCGATCCAATTGCGCACCTGCGGTTCCCACTCCGCAGGTGCGGAAACATCAGCAACAGCAGCTTCAGCTGCATTTTTCCTACTCCAAACACTCCGATCACTACCCGAAATCACCCCGAGATCCTCTGGACCACAACCAAACATACCAACATATCCAATAGCATCATACGAATTTAGTCGAACTTTCGGATCACTCAAAACAATATCGAAACGCCAAATTACACTCGAATTCAAGCCTAAGAACCTCTAAACTTCCGAATTCCGCAAACATTGTCAAAACCTACCAAACCACTTCTGAATGACCTCAAATTTTGCACACAAGTCAGAAATGACACCACAAAACTGCTCCAACTTCCGGAAATCCAATCCGACCCCAATATCAAAATTTTCACTGCCGGCCAGAATCGCCAAAATTCTAACTTTCGCCAATTCAAACCTAATTCTACCACGGGCCTCCAAATCACATTCCGGGTGCGCTCCTAAGTCCAAAATCACCTACTGGGGCTAAAATAACCATCAAAATTCAAATCCGAGGTTGTTTACACATAAGTCAATATCCGGTCAACTTTCCCAACTTAAATCTTCTCACAAGAGAATAAGTGTCTCGATTCACTCCAAAACCACTCTGGATCCGAACCAACTAACCCGGTAAGTCAAAATACAGCTAAAGAACACAAAATAAGCAGAAAATGAGGGAAAGGGCTATAATTCTCGAAACGACCGATCCGGTCGTTACACGTAGCCAACAGAAATGACAGATAATGAATGTATCTGTGCTTCTTCGATGAGAAATAAAAATCACTTCTTTTCCTGTTCTTTGGTTATAGGTTTGATAAGCATGACATTACTAGCTGTTAAGCATACCTTAATATGAAGGATTACTAGTTGGCATGGGGTTTACTACGTTATATAGTGGTGATCCTCAAGTGAAGTTGCTTGACTGGATACATAATTTAAGAAAGAGAGATTTTGGAACTTATAATCTTAAATATGTCATTATATTTGTGTGACTATAAAATTATATTATTAAAAATAAAATAAAATATTTAAAATTATTCAGATATTAAAAATATAATTCTTTTTTTAAATATGAAAAAGGAGATAGTGTCACATAAACTAAAATAGAATAAATAGTAATTAGTTCAACGTATAAAAAACATCTTCCGATCGAATTCAAGCACACCCATTCCATGAACCAAATATAGTTAGCCTAATAGACTCAATGGCAAAGCTTTAGTAAGTTAGATCATTAAAGAACTCTTTGTAAGCCCCAAAATGCTCTGCCATCGAACCTATGAGTAGCTACACATAATTCATGGTTAGTAAAATCAAGGTTAGGTTCGAATTTTTCCCACTATCAACAACAACAACAACAATAAAAAATCCAGCATTTTCCAAAAGTGAGGTCTGAGAAGGGTAAG